AAGAACTTGCCTTTAGTCCTCCACAGGAAAACAGTAGAGTTAACAGTGATAAAGACTACAGTGCTGAGGAATTTTGTCTTTTAAAATTTGAAGAAAATGGATACAAACTGTAGAAACTGATAGAAAAAATACATGATGATAGATACACTGAAGACATGGTGGAGAGTACCTACAGGTAAACATTAAGCAAACACACTTGTGTTCACACATTTCATCCATCCATGCATCCATCCATCGTCAAAGGCTCATCCTGCGTACAGGGTCACAGGGGGCTGGAGCCAATCCCAGCTGCGATCGGGCGGTGAACAGGTCGCCAATCCATCGCAGGGCCACACATGGACAAACAACCAGCCACGCTCATAAAAAGTGGAAAGTCAGTGCTGAAATCCTGTAGTGTGAATTTGGCATAAGAAGGACTATAAGTTCAACATTTGCAAACAAAACATTACTATAATTTGCTTGATGTCATGATGAACTGTGGTGAACTTGTCTGACATTAAGCCATGAATTAATGAAGGCTAATGCTATTTGCTATTTATTAATACTATTTTATTCATGGTTTTAAAAATGTGACAACACTAGTTTGTATAGAAACAGAGCAAAGTAAAAGTCATTCATTGACATTTCAAAAGGTGAGATGTTTTCGAAACAGCCTTTGAGTGATTGCTGCTAACAGCTATCGAATGACAGCGGCTTGACATTTTCCGTGCCGTGTCCAGTGCTGCAGGAAAACTTTAATGGAGCAGCAATAAATCCTGTCTCTGTAATTTTGACCTATCAGACATCAGCTCCTCAGACAGATGAGAGATCAGCGATTTAATGTCTCATGTCAAAGTGCATGCATTTAGTGTGTGTGTAATGTTTGTGTGTGATTTTATCTGTGGGAATGTGTGTGCATTAATGCAGCAGGCAATATGGGTAAATTATAAAAAGACAGCATCTGTCTGTTCAGAGAATTGGAATACATGTTAAATTATTTTATTTCCTGTCAAAATAAAACTCACAGGGAATGTTTGTAGGTGTGTGCATATGTGTGTGTGTGTGTGGTGGTGGTGGGGGGGCTACCATTTACGTACAGTGTGATTAAACTAGTGGAAATGATTCAATTTAAATGCAGCAGTGTTCTGATGCTGTGGGTATGGATGACAAAGAAGCAGAGCCTTTAGACTGTGAAACAGATTACAGTGTGAATTATGTTAAGGTGAAAAGATTTGTATGACAACAGCACCTCATGTGGCCTGTCCATTTTATTTTTGGTCCATTTCTAGTTTAGTCTCTAATTTCCAGTTGCTATTGGTAGCCTTAGTAAATACTTATAAAAACTTGCATTCCTGATCATTTATTCACATGTATCAAGACCTATATTTTACTAATCTATTTAACTATTATATAATTATAATAACATTACAACAATTACAACATATCACCAATAATAACAACAATAATAATAAATTAAATCATGAAATCACATGAATACTTTTATGTGATCACGTTGAAATTGGAGGTTTGTTGAAGTGAGCATAACAAATTTGACAGGAGCCACAAAATACAGTTTGAATTTGGGTGAGTCAAAGTAATATACAAAGACACCTTAATTCACCTCTGCCTGAGTGAATATGTTAAACACTAGACATTTTTTCCTGTTTTATGTTGTATGATGGCATAAAGACACTACACTCTTCTGGTGTATCAGTATACTGATGATGATGAGTTGAATGATGAGCCTGTCTCTGAGTATAATGAAATGAAATTATAGAAAGTAATTTGTTTCCGCAAGGTTCGTTATCAGAAATGTCAGCACTGTCTGAAGAATAGAGGGAAAGACACAGAGAGAAATCATTGTCCCCAAGATGAAGGCAGATGAGAAGGAGAAGATGACATAGAGACAGAAATGAGTAGATGACCTATAGTCATGCGATAGGTCTGTAATGTTTAGCATAGAGACAGTAGCAGCTTAGCTTTTCTTAAATTATACCTATAACATGTCAACATGTTGTGCCATACACAGTCCTATACGGATGCAGTCCCTGAATCGGGACACTGCAACTATAGTTTCTGCTCCATTTGCTCTCTGACCCTCCATGAGGAGGGATTTTTATATTTGTTGGTATTGTTTTCCTTTAGGTTTAAAACCTACCTGATGCTTAATTCTACATCTTTCTTCCTCAGGGGACAGAGAACCGTTTACAGCAAATTTTATAAAACACATAAACTTCACAGCCCTATCAGGCAGGTTATTACTATTCCTGTCCTTTCACACAGACTTTTACTGTGTTTTTGATCAATGGCTAGAGCGTGGCAGTAATGGAGCCGGGGCTACGGCTTCCATTTTTATTGGGGACACCCACGCACTATAAATTCTGCTCACTCATGGCCCTGTGAGATGCATCGGATAAAAGCATCCACCAAATGGGATAAAAGTCAGTAATCATCTTCTTCTTTCAATAGTTCCTATTCCTATTTGTTTTATCTACCTGGCTTTATCTTGACTATTTGTGCAGTCTATTCTGCAGTGTGTATGTGTGTGTGTGTGTGTGTGTGTGTGTGTGTGTGTGTGTGTGTGTGTGTGTGTGTGTGTAAGTATGTCCTGCCTTAGGATTTATTTCAAAACAAAAATACTGTATTTATGTTTCTTTTACAGCCATAACCACTACATCATAAGTCTAAGAAGTTACTTTAACTTTGGTGGAACAAAAATAAGACAAAAACACTACTTAATGTAGATATAGTAGAAGATAAAGGTTTTAATGTAGAAAAAAAAAGACATTTCTAAAGCTTTTATGTAAAACTAGTGAAAACAGGCATCAACTTGGTGCTTTGCAGGGAGGCAAATGTCACTAATTCATTAAAAACACACTTGTTTGTGCAAGATAATTATTATAATAAGCCTAACTAGCATAACTAGAAGGTCCACAAAGAGTGCAAACGTTCGGGCTATATTGTTCTCCAACATCCTGCTACACTATAAAGCCTCATTGCTGTCACTTAAATTTTAAGTCAGATTAATTAATTTGCATTGCAAACAGCCTCAGGATTTAAAACAAATAAAATCTTTAATCTTTGCTCACTTTAGAGTTATGATTGAAACATGAAATTCATCTAATGGCTGAAATCTCAGAATCAAATCTCCTCTAAAATGTAGTCACTTGTTATTTTGACCATTTGTTGTTAATTTGACAAATGGATATTAAAACATTAGGAAGTAAAGGAGATTTTTTCCTTCTTTTCATCTCTCTTTGTGCTCTGCCAGGCTCAGAGCGTGCTGTTGTTTCACCAGGCTGACTAAGCAAGAAAGTATTAAACTGCAGTTGTAAGCAGTTCAATACTGTATACCTTAAAGTTCAAAATGTCGGGTTTTTAAGGTAGTGCCAAAACTGCTGTATATTTTAATTTGATGATCATGTTTTTAAAAGTTTTCATATCGATGACACATAAGTCAAAGCCATAAATTCAGCTTATTCAACAGTATTGTAAAGGAGAATGGAATGTTTTATTGTTGTTTTTAGCCTTGCTAGCAGCATGGCTCTAGGGATGGCAATGTTTGTTTGTTGGTCAATGCCACAAGCAGGAGGACATTTATGGCCTTCAATAAATGTCATGACAAATGTTGGATGGATTACTAGTATCACCGGCAGGTCAAAGTTTTTTTCAGTGAAATACCTACTGCATGGATTGGCAAATATTTGGTACAGAGATTTATGGTTCCATGAGGATGAATAATAAATTTGGTGATCCCCTGACTTTTCCTTTTGCCCCACCAGGAGGTTGATATTTGTGGTTTTTAGTGAAATGTCTCAACAACTACTGGATGGATTGCCATCACATTTTGATACACACATTCATACCCTCTTCAGGAGTCATTGTAGTAACTTTGTCTAACACTGCAGTAAGAGTAAGAATACATGTATGTTAATGGTTAATGATTGATCGTTATCCAGGAATCTTAACAGATGTTGAATCAGTAAATATTGCTCCCCTTGGATCTGTAGCAAATATGTTCTTATTGGCTGGTGAAGAGGTTCAGTGTTTTTTAAGAGTATCAGTGTATTTTCTCTTCAATTTATGATTCATTGCTTCCTGTATGTTAAGAGGATTTTCCTCTAGTGTCAAAACCCAACACCTGAGTTTTATTTGGGAATTTATTCTTAATATCAGGAGGATGCTGTTCTCAGTTGTGATTTACCTGCCTTTTCTTGGCTCTCTATAGGTCAAGACACATTTATCTTAATGTCTCCCACCCCGTCTTCATCCTTCTTTAGCTACAGACTTTATGATTAAAACCAATTAAGTCTTCCAGTGAAAACTGACTCTCCTGTCATTATTCATTTTCCTTTTATACTTTGTCTCCTTTGTACCTTTATCATCATGTCCTATACTGCAGATGTTTTTTTTCTTTCCTCAATTCTATGTGCCTGTCTTCTATTATTAGTATCACTGCTTAATCTCCATTAGTAATTTGCATTTGTAATAAAGAATTGCTATTCAGATATCACGCACATTGCTGCCTGTACATACAAAGTAGGTTTTATCCAGGTTTAATTGCATAATCTGTAAATAAAGGTTTATTTTTGGAAAAGCTGAAATCAATTTCTTCTCTGTGCATACAGACTTATTTAGCCTAGTTTACAAAAATTGGAATCAGGGCATACTGCTAGGCTTTGTCAGAAGCAAAAACTACCCCTGCCAGGAACTCGAAAGCTGCCATGTTTTAACTTGGCAGTACATCCAAGAGGCTTCAAGGCTTTGTTTAAGAAACAGGTCCCATGCGTAACTAATCATACGTTTGATCACATTTTTTTACTGTTAAGAGAGCTAGCAGTTTATCCCTGCTTCCAGTCTTTTGCCAATTTAGGCTAAACACATTATGTACATACTCTGTCGCTGTATTAGGCTGTACCCAGTCTGTACCCAGTCTGCTCTTGCAACTTTTTTTCTTACTACATATTTAACTTGTTTTCTTTCACTTCTCTTCTTCTGTCCCCCTTCTCTACTGCATCTAGGCGTTGAGTGCATTGTGGGGTTACCTGAACCAAGGGATCACTGGGACCCTGTCTTTGGAACCTGTGTCTTCCTCTTCTCCTTCCTTATCCCTGTGGCAATCATCAGCATCTGCTACAGCCTGATGGTCAAGCGCCTGCGCAATGTTCGCATCCTGTCCGGTTCCAAGGAAAAGGACCGCAACCTGCGGCGCATCACCAGGATGGTCCTGGTGGTGGTGGCAGCATTTGTCGTATGTTGGACCCCCATCCAGATCATGGTCCTTGCTCAATCACTGGGCTTCAACCTGAGCAGCTTGTTCACGCTGGTTCTGATGCACTTCTGCATTGCGCTGGGCTACGTCAACAGCAGCTTGAATCCTGTGCTCTACGCCTTCCTGGATGAGAACTTCAAACGCTGTTTTCGTGAATTCTGCCACCCGTCTCCATTCCGTCTCGACACCCAGCAGTCTGGCAGGATGAGAAGCATTGCTAGAGAGGTGGCAGCAGCCTACAGCTACAAGGCTGGAGATGGCGGGGGGCTTGGAGGAGGGACGCCTAATCCAGCATGACTAGGCGTGGAGCTCCCTTTGGTGGGGGTAGACCCCCAACAGAGGAGAGAGAACCAGGGAAAAGGGAACTCCAACACAGAATTGACTCAAATTACAGCTCTCTAGCGGCACGAGCCCCCCCGCCCCCCAACTAGAAGACTAGCCTGGGGTGGGGGGGAGGGAGATGAGGATGATGCGGTAGAAAGGAAAAGAATTTAGAAATAAGAATGGGGATCACAACATAAGACCCATAGGGTGCTTGTATGGATGGAAGGAAATGGGATACGTTAAAAGTTTGGGTGGGAAAGGTGGTGGACATATGGGTTGGATATGGTGCCGAATGACTTGGAACGATCTTGGAATGACTTTGGCCTTAACGCAACTGAGGCTGTCAGATATTTTGGAATGGAGCTACAGATATTAGAAAACATTAGTAAGACTTACTCAAGGATCCAACTATCTTGAGGTGGATGTAAAATCAAAAAGGTGACAGCATTATTAGTTTATTGCAGCTCTAAAAACAACATCCTTACTAACAGAAATTGGATCTACCAACTGAGGCTAGTACCCTGTTTCTGCATCTCTAGGAAGATGTCTGACTCTGTATTTGGGTAAGATAAGACAGGGGTAGACTTTTGGAGAGAGCATTTAAACAGTATGGGATTAATAAGCAGCTGCACATAGCAAAATCTCTGAAACCACCATGCACTACTTTGGTGCTTGCAGAGAGAATATAAACAACAGTGGAAGCATGGATTGTGTCTATCTGGCAGTAAGGACCACGGATTGAAGACTTGGCAAGGAAGTGTAAAGCTTTCTGGAAGTGTGAAATGGAGAATAAACTCTTTCACTACAGTTTATTGTATCTTAATCTGTTGATGTTTCAGACTAAAGAACTTCATGCCATGAGTGGTGGGAAGCAGTGGACAAAACGCAAATTCAGTCTGAGCTGATCCGATCTCAGTATGGGGTCTTTATTGTGATGGTTTCTCTAAAAATTGGTCTACATAATGATAATATGCTGCTGAGCCATTATTAGGACTTCAATGGACACACACAAGTGTAATTTGATATCTGCGACTGTAGACAGGAAGTTGGATGTAATATCTGCAAACAATAGATGGCATAGGGAAAATAACAATGTGCAACAAGCTACTCTTGAGCAGTATTTCTTAAACTGTGTCTATGGACCCAGAATGGGTCACATGAATGTTATTAGGAGCAACATTTCTTAATGTGTTCTGAATAAAAGACAAAATAAGACTGGGAAATCCTGTCCTAAAACAAGTTTCCTAGAATTTTTGTGATTTTTGAAAACTTTCTATGACCACCTGTGAGGTGTTGGAAATTTAGAGTTGGGGAGGGGGGAGGGGGATATTGTAACCTGAAAGAACAGCAAAAACTCAAGCCTAGTAAGGGTATAATCGCGTTATTCCTTTTCTTCTTCCTGCTGTGTTTTAAGACACAAAATGAAGGACAGTGCCTGTCTCTGGTGGGTCCACACATGTCAATTAGCCTGTATCTCAGGATATATGTACCCATATATCATTAGTTGCTCTGACTTGAAACATAATAAACATAATCTTTTAACATGACCTGGGCAAATCTAAAGTGTATACTGTATATACGTGGATGTCTTACAAGACATCTGAAATGTATAATTTACTAGATAACAATGAAGCGATTAATGATAATGGATTTGTTTTGCCTAATTCGAATAAAGATTGAAAAACAATCCTCATATATTCATCATATGCTTACCAGATGGTATTTACAACACATCTGTGATTGTACCATTGAAACAGACATTTCTTGTGGAACTTTTCAGGACAATGTGCCTTTAAAAATGAATATAAGGAAATACACATTACACCAAACATGATGGCAGGGCCACACAGTCTGCCTTGTGTTCGCTAATATAAACAGTTAAAGACATTCTCCCCAGAACTACAATTGGCAAGTTGAGACAACATTGCCAAAGGTAGATGAAATAAAGAAAAAAAGATTCTAGCTCTTAGCATATTGTAGGTAAGTAAGTACAAACAGAAACCAAAATATGTTTAAAGACCAGATTTTGGCCTCTATAAATAGTACATTTCATAATGTAAAAATTAGGTGTTTTGTGATTTTTGGGGGGGAGGGGTTAGTTAAAAGATATAATAAATTATGTAGAAGTTCAGTGTCCTGCGATGGACTGGCGACCTGTCCAGGGTGTACCCCGCCTTTTGCCCAATATAAGCTGGGATTGGCTCCAGTCCCTCGTGACCCTGTAAGCAGGATAAAGCAGTTGGCGATGGATGGATGGATGGAAGTTCAGTGTTCGCTGTTTACACTTTTTTCTTGAGCTGGAACTTCCTACTGTAACGTTAGCTGATTCTGGCGCCTTGTGACTATGAAAGTGGTTATCAAAACCCTGAATTCTTTTACCTACTGCAGAAAAATACCACATTCCTTCTCGCACAAACTTCTCCACAGTGATTCAGTTTTTCTGTATCATCACTGTCTTTTGCAAAGCTTAGTCACACTTTTGACTACCTCCGGCCTGCCATACTGTTAACACTCTATATGAGCATTGATGCCTTCATAACAGGGGATGTAGAATGAATTTTACTAGTTTAAATAAACCAAAGGTTGCTTTAAGGAGAGTTGAATTGTAGAGCTCATTTTAAAGGAAGGTGTGATTCTTATAAATGTGTCTATAGTTCTAATTCCAAATCATGTGTTTGATACCCAGCCCTAATGATCTGTTAGGTACTCAGCTGGTAACTGGCCAACAACTGAAGTTCTGTCTGTTTTTATGGTAACATTTCAATTTGATGATACATTTTAAGGATAATGTTAGTTTAACCCCATCTAGTAGTAGTAGTTATTACTCATTTCACTCAAGCCACAAAAACTGACCCACTGTGGAAAGGAAACATCTAATATAATGATGAGTTTGTCTAAGTGAACATGTTAGAGGAATATAATCACAGATGTGCTGTTTTTATCAGGTTTGTAGCTGTGGTCTGGGGAATAAGAAGTGAAACTGGGTTTCCCGAACAACCGGGGTCGAGGTTGGGTTTGGGAGTGGTGAAATACGGGTTTGACATATTTTAAGGTTGGGACATTTACATTGGGCGGGGTTGGGTAGGGGTGTTATCAGTGAATCATTTTGACTCTCAGCAACACAGTGGCAAAGCAGGAGGAAGGGGTCACAGTGCTCTGACCCCACTCCAAGGGACAAAGGGGCTCTCTATCTTCTTAGTGTCTTAAAGTGGAAATCAAACTGTCCTGGTTTTAAGAATGAACATGTGGATTCTGTTTTAGAGTTGGTGTCCCCTTTAGTTTTATATTTGTGTCTCCATATAATTTGGATCAGTTTGATGTACATACTAAACATATGTGTGGGGGGAGGGGGTTCAATTATTTTTTAACATGATGAGTTTCAGGATAGCAAGTTGACACTGTTGTCATGAAGGGTCATGGTTTGCTGTCTGATTTATAGCATATAAGTTAAGTTACAGAATGTTTTTACACACAAATCAAATTGATTTGTGTGTAAAAACAAATACATTTGTTTGCTGCAGCTACTCTTTGCAGCACATATTAATTTTGTTGTCATATTGTCTTCTTTTGTTTGAGGAACAATTCTATGAACTTACATTGCCTTAAATATCAAGTGAAGTCTGTTACCGAAGCTCGCTCTCCGGCTGGATAAAGTGTGTTTAGTTTTTACTGGTGCTTCGCTGTTAGTTTATACTAGTCCAGACCTGTATTCATAAAGCCTCTGAGGACAGGAGTCATCAGGCCAGAGACAAGAGTCAATTAAATTTTGAGTTTGTGTTTCTTTAACTAATTGTCTTTAACCTTAAAGCTAAATATAGTGTAATCTACCATTTGGCATTTTAGGGAAGTGGACAGTTTTCTCCCTTAAAGTTTGTTCAATAAAACTGTAAGGTGTCACTTTGATTCTTACCTTTGCACCGTACCAAAGTAACCCACATCTGCTAAAATGTAAACTGAGATGATGGAAATGGAAAGCCAAAATATATTGATGAAGCGTGGATTATACCATGTTCGCATAAAAAGCTCAATTTTGATTGGCTAACAGGCGTCAGCTAAAACTGTACATGTGGATACAACAAACATTGCAACAACAATAACAACAGTTTAACCTCAGTTCTAAATCAGTACATACTGGATATTAAACTGCATGTATCCATGGAAACAGTTCTTTTGACAGTTGCAACTTACCAACAGTCAGCTCTTACAATGGGTTCAAGTGACTACATAGACACTTTGAAAAATTGGAGGATGATTTTAACAAAGCTTCCCCTTTTGCCTTTGGTAATTGGCCATCGTATAAACCCAATAATACACTCTGTAGTGTCCTCAGAGTGCATTATCTCTTACTAAATGTTGTACATTTCGGGGTCCTTTGCTTTTGTAGAACAATATGATTTGGTTACCTTATATAAAATGGGGATTTCAGATTTATCTTCAGTAAGCTGAGTGCATCTTTACACCAATTAAAGCATACACTGAGAAGAATAGTAAGCAAAGGCTTTTCTAGGAAGCAGTTACTAATGTAGGTCAGGTGGCTGGGGACACACTAGGTCCAGCTCTTAATGTCACAGATATTGTATTGTACCATTAAGTGCTTGCTACTGGATCTCATAGTATTGGTCTAAGATCATCATGTAGGTCACATAAGAAATTAATCTAAACCATGACTGCGAGTTCAAGCTTTATATCTGTTAACAATATTCTCATTCACCTAAACATCAATACGAATTGTTTGCACATCTGATTGGATCATCACCCCACTCACTCATCAAATTTGATTGTCAGATTTCATCCAAAATATAATATTTTCTGAAAAAAACATACGACAGATTACAGATTATATTTTCGATATTTTAATCTCATCTAATTAACTTTCTCTGATGAAGCTAACCTTGGATAGAACTGTGCATCTTGAATAAATTGATGATGACTTCAACTCAGCTCCTTAAGCCAATACCATAAGCATGACAAGACACACACAGGGTTTCGGAAAATAGTGGACTCGGATTTGCCTCCAAATGGTGCATTATCTTATATTGAGATTTACCACACTCACAAGGTGTCCAATACTACCTGCATATCCTAAACATTTTTTTCAAGTCACTGTTGATGTTTTGCAATTGTGCAAAGTGAAGTGAATTTGGTTGCAAATCATCAGCAGTGGACTTAGAGGGAAAGTGGGGTTTTGGAGGGCTATTGGTGTAAATAATCAGGGAGTGAAACTTTGATTGCTTATTACCAAGGTTTTTCAATATATAGTCTGGCTTTGTGAGTCTTGTCTTTATCAGGTATAATGCCATAAATTATTGAAAATGTTAATGCTAATATTAGCTCTAAATAATTATTAGCACTGTTAACTGGGTGTGATTAGAGCTCTATGTGACTGCCATACCTCTGGTATCCTTGATGATCAAGTATGTCTGTTCTGTTCTGAGATAGTTTTATGAATACTGGTCGTCTTTTGTACAACCTAGCAGACTTTGTGTAGGAAAAATGGCAAGTACACTGGCTTCGACATGATTCACCTTCATGAAGATGTGCTATAACGCAGCTGTGAGGCTCTTTGTGCTTAACTGTCACTGTTAAAACTGAAGACACAATGATATTTTGTATTACTGGTTGGTGTTTTTTTGTAGCACAAAACTACATAAAAAGGACTCCAAGAGGGTGAAATCCTTCTGTTTAACAATGCAGAGTGAGCATAATTATACTGTCTGTTAGCTATGTATAAACATTTTCTTTAATATGACACTTGCGTAAAAGTATTAACATAGTTCTGATTATCATTTAACATCTGACCTCTTTCTCTTGTTATTCTTGGTGTATAAATAAAACTATATCTCACCAACCGTAATGGTACGTATTGTTACCTCCGTGCATCCGAATGCAGGGAGATTCCTATCATTCGTTTACATTTTACAGACCACATGAATGTCAAATGAAAAACCTGTTGAAAAATCCAAATCTAGGAAGAAAAAAAAACTTACAATGTTGATGTTATTCGTATTATTGCTATCAAATAATAAAAATAGTATTGCATTAGTGTTTTTTGCTTTGTGGGAGACTGTCTGGTATGTAGCTATGTAACACTTGTGGACTGTATTGTGCTCACTGCCCGAGTCATGAAATTAAACAGTTCTTACCACTCAAAAATGAGGTTTCTTCAACAGGAGTTGTTGCTGTCAAGGCCCCATTTCCTAAAACTTGTATCAACTTTTTCCAACCACAAATCCACTCACACAATATGGCCGAGATCACTACACTTCTTATTTCACTTTAGGTATTGTTACTATGTCAGAACATCAGCTAAATTCTAAAATTTTATTTAATTACACATCTGTTTAGATATTAACTGATGCTATCTAGTCATAATTTACTATTAGTAGTGCAATGTCAATATTGGTTGTGATTGGTTGGGGTCAGCTGACAGAGCTGTTTCTATCACATGACTCTGGCTGTAGCTACATAAACTTACTTGTTCCTGTCCTGCAGATGGCAGACTGAACTACTATGCTAGCTGGCTTGTTGTCAATGCATAAAGACTTTTTGCTGACGCTTGAATTTTAAATTGTATATTTTTCTCTGCTTATGAAATGAATAAAAGAATAAATAAATTATGGTCATGTATTACTCATTGTTTTATTGTTTTGACAGTCTGTCAGGTAGATTCTAAAAGGGATCAGGCAGCTCATTTCAGTAACAATTACAATGCAGGCTCTGAACTAATGAATTCAATAACCTTGATTTACAGGCAGATTTTTGAGCTATATAAAATTAAACTGAAGAATAAAAAAAAAGTTTAGATAAATTTAGATAAAGCTGGATTGGACAAAAAAAGCTTTCTTTTTTTATGTGTTTATTTGTTGTCCAGTCTGCTTGTGTTATTTTTACTTCTATTCCTGAAGAAAACAGTCAAGTACTTGATGAGCTTAATCACATACTGAAGTACTGTTTAAAACTATAGCTTAAAATGTACATGTGAAAAATGCCAAACAAAACAGAACAAACAGCCTTTGAGACAAAATGTATGATCCTGCTGTACCTCTACCTGCAAATGACTTAAACTGTTCTGTGGTAAAGTTCTCTGCCCTTTCTGACTCTGATGCCAAATTAAGTCCAGTGATCAGCACTTTTCATGATCAACTTTTCTTATGGTTCACTTAAAGTCTGACTTTGTCATTATATCACACAAAGCTTGATGACCAGAGAGATTTCAACGATCATTTCCTGGCTCCACTCTGTCCACTACAACAGAGAGCCTCTTTTGCTTAGATGAATTAGACAGGGTACTTTTGTTGAGATGGACTCACCAAGATCCTCATCTGACTGACTGAAAGAACCTACAGGAAGGAAGGAGGAAAGAAAGGGAGGAAGAAAGAACGAAGAAAGGAATGAAGAGAGGATGGTTGGGTGAAAGGAAATCAAAGAAGCAAGGAAGAGAAGGCAGGAAGAGAGGGAGAAAAAGAGGGAGGAGGAAGAAAGGAAGAAATGGATGGTAAGAAGGAAGGAAGGGAGAAAGAGAAGACAAGGAAGACAGAAATAAAAAGAAAGAACGAGACAGAGAAAGGAAAGATTGTATTTGTATTATGCCAGGAAACACCTGTTTAAGCATTTTACTACTGTGCACTTTCAGTGGAAGATTTTTGTCCACAAAGGACCCATCCACACTACTCCATTTTAGTTTACAAACAGAGAATTAAAACGAATATGATCTCTGTCCACACCAGCGTTTTGGTTGCGTTTTGGAGTTGATCTCCGTCTACATTAAAATGACTGAAAACGCACATCTATTGGCTGTTCAGGTACACTGGGAATGCGCATGCCTTTTGTAAACATGAAGCAGATGGTCTCTTCCTGGTTACAGAAGATTTGGTGAAAGAAAAAATAAATTCAGACGAAGAAGGTATTTTTTTTGCGTGCACCAATAAGGAGCTGGGACTGTTACTGAATTAACACAGGAGTGTGATGGCGGAAAACAGACTGGGAGTCGTTGCAAACTAAACGGCAACATGCACAGTACAAGTGTAGACAGATAAGTGTTATTTGCATGGTACATAGTATTTTAATAAAAATACCATGTCAAAAACCTGGTCAATAGCATCATGTTTCTGCTTTGCATGACTTTTAAGGCCCAATCAGAGAGCCGAGTGTGAGCGGCTGCGTCATCGTTTCTAAAGTCCTCCGTTTTGGCCCATCTTCACTAAAACGCCCTCCGGAGTTTTGAAACGCAAAACGGAGTTGCCAGCATTTCTAAACTTCGCCGTTTTAGGTCTAAAGTTTTCGCCGTTGTAGTCTGGACGGGAGGTGCAAACGTAGCAAAAGGTCTCCGTTTTAATTTGACTTACCAAAACATTAACAAAAATGACCTGGCGACGCCATTGATCAGCGGCATGGGACACAGCGGCATGGGGCACACCGGGCCCAGGTGTGTCCCATGCCGCTGATCAATGGCGTCGCCAGGTCATTTTTGTTAATGTTTTGACCGTAGCCCCGAATGTAACTCAACAACAGCAACAAAAATATTTTCCATGTTAATATGCAATAATCTTCATGACACAGCCTCTCTCGCAGGACTTCAACGAGCGGAGGCTACTCGCAATAACTGATACATTTTGTTTCAAGTTCACGTAATGTGACCCACCACCACCGTTACTCAGACTGCCTGCATTTAGAGAGAGCACAAGAGAGAGAGAGAGAGCATTGCTCACAGCTTCAGAGCTTTTCCGCGACTTCTGAATTGCAAAATTGTGTCAGTACATTTAAATATAAATGTTGTCGGTCAGTGTCTAGTCAATGTATTAACCCAAACGGCTAACAGTCGCCGCACAGTAGTGAGAGAATATCATCACACCTGACCGCGACACGGACATCTGTCGCTCTGTGTCCTGCTGTCTCTGTCCCCCTCACTGTGAGACACTACTGTTTTACTGTTTCCAGGACGATTTGAGAAAGAGTGACAAAGCGTAGTTATTTTCCGACCGGCTAACCCTACAGCTGCGCCGATGTGCTAACAGGTAGGGTTAGCCTCCCTTGTGTTGATGCAACGTAGCAAACGGAGGCGTTTCATACGGACGCTGAAAGGTACCTTTAGCGTAAAATCCTTACGCTTTGTCACGCTGTCTGAAAGCGTCCGTTATGACGCATTGAGATGAGAATGTGTTGGGCTGTGAGCTGCACTTTATCAGAAGTGCTGAAGTGAACATTTGTGTGGAATTGTGGTGATATTATCTATCTGCTATCTGATCACAAGTGTTTTCAGTTTCGGTTTTCTTCCTCTGATGAAGATCAGTGCGCTAGTGTCATTGAGTAGGCTACAGTCCCAGACGGGCTCTCTGTCTGCCATACGGTCTAAAAGGGGTGGACTGTGGACTGTAATAGGCTACCGTCCGACGAACCTTTAGGGCCGGTGTTACGTAAATTATTTTGTCTACCAATGGGTAGATCATTGTTACCCATCTCCAGAGCATCAGTGATATCGGTGAGGTGCCTGCGCAGAGCCCAATGGATACTAAAGGACAGTACCCACCCAGCCACAGCCTGTTCACCCTGCTGCCATCTGGGAAGAGATATAGAAGTTTCTGCTGCCACACCACCAGACTGCAGAGCAGCTTTTTCCTCCAAGCTATCAGACTTTTAAACTCAAACTCATCCTAAGCACTGCTCTATTGAATATAGTTCATTTCTGTTTACCATTTTTATAATTGCTCCTATATTACTGTATATTGTCTGCTACGTAGCAGAAGGGAGTTACAAACTCAATTTCACTCTATAAGCTGTTGTTTTGTGACCAAATGAATTTACCTACCTCTTTGTGAAGGGAAAGCAACAGATTAATCTTCTTGAAAAGCCCATGATTGAGTGGCATCATACCCACTACCTGAGAGACTTTAAAGCAACAAAAAAAAGTATGTTTATTTTTGGGGGGAAAGAAATAGACTAGTGTAGTAAGAAAATGCAGAGAGGTTTCACTTCAATAGCTGCTGTTACTGTTGTTGTCAACCTGACATATTTACAGATACACTCTACAACTCTGAGATAATGGTATAATATATATCTGAGATAATGCTATAATAATGTGTTCCTCGAGAGCAAAACCTGCAGAGAAAGAATGTGCAGAAATGTTTCTGCCACCGAATAAAAAGGATACTGTAAATCAGAGGTGTAATAGGGCTTTTATGGTGTAACTCTGGGTAGGGGAATTTACCTAGCTACATATAACCACATGCAACACAAGCACCCTGATGAAATGGCACCAACCCTGGCAAGAAGTGCTGTCTAAAGGACAAACTGAGGGAGCAAATGTCTCTTCACTTCCTGTCGTTCCATTACCAGTAGGTTTCGTAGGGATCGTGAGTAGATGAATGAACACTAGTACATGACTAGTTAATTGGGCACATAGAACTACAAATATTAAGTGAACACAAAGACTCTCAACAATGCCAGTGACAACAGTTAGGAGCTAGAGAGAAGCATCTTCAGAAGGACATGGAGATGGACATAACAATACCACTACACCACCGCTATGATTTTTTAAAATTTCATTTGGGTAGAACAGTGAACATGTTTCCTCGGAGGACACAATATGAAAAATACTGTGACTTTTTAAATAAACAACAATTTAACCTGTTCAAATTATTTTTGAGAGTTCTTGATAATGGGGTTTGAAGTAAATGTGAGAGGAAAAAAGGTTAAAGCAATTTCTCCGTGTTGCTCTTTTAGCACTGAAGGTCATCTGTTTTCAGCCTTATGCTGTATGTCCTGTATTTCCTGCACAGTGGATAGATAGTATTGATCGTGTAGACAGCTACTTCCTGTGTTTGAGGATGGTTTGGATAACGTAACCTTAGTGACAGAAAAGTAATGTGATATTTTGTCTGTTGCAAATTGTTTAATGATTGATTATTGCTCCTTTCTTGACTATTGATTCTCATCAATTGATCGATTGAATGTTATCCTCCCAAGAAAAACTCATAAAATGCCCCAAAACCACAAAGTGACAAAAATGACCAAGTCCTCTGGTGCTGCTGTGATTTACAGTGGTTTTGGAAGGCACAGATGAATTATGTTCTCCCACTGTTTGACCAGTAAGAGGCATTATCTAAATTCAAAATGTCACTGGTCATAACAGTACCTTTAAAAGCATTTACAGCAGATATTTCTAATACTAACTCTCTCTCTTTTGTCCTTCTGTCCTCTGTCTCCTTCTGTCCCTCGTCATCTCTATACAGTTGTATTTATTAAAATTAACTTGGATGACAAATGAGCATACACAGAGAAAGTGAGCGCAAGAGCTTGTTCTTGTACTCACTTTACAAGGAAAATTCCTTTTACTTATTGATTGCCTACGTCCTTTTATCTTCCTCACCCATCTATCAATAGCAGCTGTGGCTCAGGAGGTAGAGGTAGATTAGGGTCATCCAGTAATCAGAAGGGCAAGATATAAAACCCCAAATTGTTTTTGATGGTTGTGCCATCAGTGTGTCATTGTGTGTGAATGTATTAGTTTCTGTTTCTGGTGAACAGCTGGCACTTGTATGGTAGCCACTGCAATCAGTGCATTAAAGTGTGTGAATGGGGTGACTTGTAGTGCAAAGGCACTTATAAGTACAGTCCAT